ACCCCAATGGAAGCTCAAGAAAAACATGTATTTTATTAAAGGTTGTAGTCCCCTGTTCTTCAGTTAAGTTGTGAGAAAACCCAGCAAATCCAGGACAATCCAGGTTAATTTTTAACTTTAAAAAATAAAGAATTATTCAATCCCATATGAGTAGGAAAAGATCCACCCCAAACACACAGATATAACTTAAAAACTCTTTTTCTGATGACCTGAAGATCTTTTCTATGTATCTTAAAATTTGTATCTTCTCGGCAGATCACCAAGTGTTATTTGCCCGTGGGTAGATAAAAGCAAAAGAATATATATTATTCTTAATAGAAATTAAGGCAAGTGACATCAAAACGTTCCCCAAAATGTCAACTGATGGCTATACTAGTATCTACATACCATTTTACCTTATTTGTTTCTTCCTTTAACTTTACAATAGAATTTGAAGCATTTCACAGCTGCTAGGAATGTACTAGTAAGTGGAAACGGAATAAAAATTGCACCATTAGACACCAGCTTCTTTTTCATTTGAATTATCAAAACAAGCATTTAACCATACTCTTCTGTCAGTATTATAGGGATAGTAATTTGTACCTGTCTCACAGGCCTGTAGTATGTGAAAATCAAGGTGAAGGAGGGGATATGCAAAGTGGTTGTTTAATTAAAGACTCTTAGATCAAAGTGAGATTCTTGGATTGTTTAGGTTTTACTCAGATACACCAGGAAAAACAGGTTTCACATTTCTACTTGTTTACAGCAGCACCATAACAATGATGTTTAATCAGGAAGGAGGTCTGGTGACTAATAAAGATGGAGAAATGGCCAGAGAATGGAAATGGCCTCGGGATGGCAAGCTTGCCCAGCCAGTTATAATACAGGTAATATTTATTGCTTTATTTTTCCCCCGTTGTTTTTACCTCTTTTTTAATTCCACATCTTTTGGTCTCTCTGAAGCGTCTTAATTGCAAGGACCATGATGTTTATATTTCTTCTTCTTTAACAAGCTTTACAAAGAGTGGCCCTCCTAACAGACATGAGCAGGGATTGTATTTTAGTCATGTATTTTAGTCATGTGACTAAAATACACTTGTATTTTAGTCATGTGGCACCTCAGGAGGAAGAAGGAAAAGCAGATAGCCTAGAACTGTTGCAACTCAAGATTTCAGCAGACCAGAGGATTATCCTCCTTGCTGGAAGCATTTTAGAGGAAGCTGTGAATATGAATGAGCTGTTTGGGTATTCCTCATTTTTCTTTTGGGCATGTTCAGTAGCAGGCAGTTGCTGTACCTGACTTCGTGCCTAATCCAGTTCCCGCTGAAGACAATGAAAAGCTTCCCACTGTTTTGTAGGTACTGAATCCAGGCCTAGCATGCTGCAAAAATACTAGAAATTAGGGTAAAAACATTTGCAGCCCAAGTCAGGAAGTGTGCCTTCAGCACAGAGTTTGTAAACACACCCACTGTTTACAGGGGTCAGGTGAGGTGAATTTTTCTTCCTTGCTAGCTGATGCAGAGCTACTGGAAGCATACTTACTATTTTATACCCGGCATACATAAGACTGACAGAATGACAGGTAGCCAAACACATACCAAGTTTTCTTTACTTGGCTCACACTATGTGGGCTGGCAGAGGAAGTGAAGGAATAGCTTGGAACAAACAGAAATGATAATAAAATTCTTACAGCTGCCTTGACTGTTTAATATAGGCAGATATTTTTATGGAGATAAGGGTAGGGTTTGTGCTGTAAACTGTTCTTTGTTTATTTGATAAAATCTGCAAGAGTTCAAGACTTCTGAAATACCATGCTATATCTGCAGTATTGCCTTTTACAAAGCGTAAAAATTAAAGCAGATAGATACAGCAGATACTGAAAGAGTTTGGATTAAGAAATACAGGTTATACAATGTTACTGTGACTTATGTGCTGTAGCAAATTAATTTAATGTTCTCCAAGAGTCACATGAAAATGGAAATGAGTTTAGTAAAGCTGTTAGCATCTGCAACATAATATTTACCTTGCTTTAATAGGTAGGAGTGTCAGAGGCAGGAAGCAGGTGGTGCAAACTAGCTCTTCGATTAAATGGAAGATAGGAAAAGTGGTTCCAAGTCCTGTTTGGTGTCATCAGTATGTTCCTCATTGGCTGTGTGCACAGACAATGCTGACGGCTTTAGCGACCATGATCTTAAAAAAAACATTGTGTGCATCACAGTTCTTTACTGGGGACTAAACATTGTCCAAATCTGCCTCCTCTTACTAGCAACAGTGGTTAGAGGGCAAGCAAGGGCTAGAGCTTTCTGAGCCCATCTGTTTCTGACTCCACAGCCTCTCTGCCTCCAAAGAAGTAGACACTGTCCTAAATAAGTTGAGAGGAAGGGGAGTTATTTTCTCATGTCTTCCTGCTGCACAGCATCAGCTGTCTACCTTACAAAACATACATAATCACAGTAGTTTTGCTTTGGGCTGGAGTCATTCAAGCAAGGCACCAGGGGCTATCTCTGCCCACAGTTCATATCCTATGAGCTAACTTTGTGGCATTCACAGGAGAGCAAAGGCATGAAAACTTGTCCGTAAACTTAAGCCTGCAGTAACTGATCATTCCCTCACCTCTATCTTTGATAACCCTTTGAGACTTCAGCCTACCTCTTCCATGCAATTACAAATACGAAAACTTGGTGGAGTTAATAAATCTCCTTTTTTGCTCTTCCAGGTTAATGAATACATTACAGTGAGGATTGCAGGGCGCTTTGCAATTAGCTTGATCTACAACTGGCAACATGAAAGCGTGTGCTTGTCTTTGTCACCACTGCAGGGTGCGGCTCTTCCACAGTTAGAAGAGTTGGTATGTGTAACTGCTACAGTATTGCATTTTATCAGGGAACATCATTAAAAATATTTGATGCCCTGTGAACTCTGGAATCAGTGAGTTTTCCCATGAAGTACATTTCAAGGTTTATTTATGTAAGAGCAAGTAAGAGCTTCCAGAGATGTAAATAAGCTCCAGTGGATTTATGCTGATACACAGTTACTATAGATCTGGCCCAAAGGGACAGATCTTCCTATGCGCTGTGGCAGTTCCTATTTATGCCCTTTTTTTTCTGGCTAATTCCATTAAAAATTATTTAATGTTTGCCATGTTAACACCTTTTGGTGATTAAGTCTGTATCACACCACCTCTTTCATCTATTGGTATACCTATAACCTAATCAAATGTTCATTTTTGCTCTGAGAGGATGGTAAAGTATTAACAATACATCTAGATACATCTAGAATTCTCTGGTCTACCAGAAAGAATACTAAAAGCGTTGACTCAGCCCATTCTGAGGTAGGTATAATTTATTGTGCTGTGGGTGGGGGGCAAAGGTATTTGAGGGAAGACCTCCTTCCCCTCCCCCCCCCCAAAAAAAAAGTTTTATTTTTTTTCTCTGTCACCAAGAGCAACAGTTTTCTCTAAAAGCCTGATCCAAATCTTTCTGATCTCCAGTCTGTGCAGTGAGCTGGCTATCCAGCTAGGTTAATCAGCCAAACGAAACCCTGCATCATCATGGCAAACGTTCTCTTGTAGGCAGGTTGAAATATACTGTTGGTAAAACAGAACTTGCTGTTGTGATTTGGAGCTCAGGAAAAAAATAGCTGTGGAACAGTTGTTGGAAAAGTAGCAGAAATGTATCATCCAAGTAAAACAAAACAAAACAAAACAAGCAATGTTTATTCAGTGTTGATTTCCTTCTTCCTGTTATATATGAAAGCCTTTAGCCTAGAAAGCATAAAAACATATATTGCAAGGATATAAGAAACGTGTATACACACACACACACACACACACACACACGTACATGTGTGTTCTAGTCATTGCTTTAAAAATAAATTCAGATTAACTCCTAAACTTCTGAGAAATTCAATTTGTCAGTTATTAAATTATATTTTGTAATGGTGTTTCACAATGTGTAGGACATAGACTTAGATATTAAAACATGTTCCATGAAGCTATTACAACTAACATCACCATCATTACCAAAATAAACCAGCCCCTCACACACAGACATTTCTGCTTATATAGGCAAGGATACAACCCAAATGAGGGAAGATGAAAGTAATAAATGAACATATTATTTGTTTGGAAGCAAAAACCATTGAATCTGATTTTGTAAGATGGGCCTCAGTTTTTTAAAATAGTTTTGCAGTTCTATGATTAAAGAAGACTGAGAAGCTCTTAATGCAGCCTTAATAAGCTGTAACCCCCCTGTAACACTGGGGTGCAAAACAATACCTTATTCCCTCTAATTTTAGAAATGAAAACATCTACTGGGCTGTTACAAAAATAGTGCTACCACTGAGTCCATGTAAGACTGCCATCTGAAATGCCACCAGAACAAGGCTTCCTGAGATTAACAACAGAGTAAATGGAGTACAGAAGAGAACGGAGAATCTGAACCTCTCTGGAAATAGAACTGGGGAGGATGAAGCATTGCGAGGAATTCGTTGGATATCATTTAC